GCAACAATGAATGAATGGAAACCCAAAATCTCTGTAAATGTTTATGAAAATTAATAAAATATAATTATAGAAAAAAAAAAGGAATGGCTGAACTACAATGCCAACTGAACCCCTAACCTCAAATGGTATCTGAAGTTAAACTCTATGCACAATTCTATGTAAATATATGTATGCACATTTTTCTGAGGAAAAGATGAATAGCTTGCATCAGATTCTCTTAGGGTGATCCTCTCTACACAAGTCCCTCTGTCACATTTAGGAGAACAGGCCTTGTTCCCACTTCTGGTCTGAATGAGATATATATCAAAATGACCACTGCAATGATGTATACAGCACATGGTGGACCTGTACCCCACTCTGACCTTATCCTTTTAAGAAAATCTGCCAGGGGAGGAGGCTGCCTGAGGACATGGCTGTTCAGACTTTGCCTGGGGACATGGCTGTTCAGACTTTGTCTGGGGGTTGTTCTTCTGCTCGGTTTCTCCAAAAATATAGCTGACCACTTATGCTTCTTCTGTGAAAGCTATAAAAAGTGCAGTCTTTTTCATGTATCAAAGGTACTATCTGATACAGGAGGGAACGCAATGAGTTGTGCTGTAAACCCAAAAGCACATAGTTTCCACCAGCTACTCCACAGGAAAAAAGATGGGTAATCTCCTTCTGTGCAATTAACTGCCTCTGAAAACTCACTGGAGGATCAGCTTTGAGTTGGTTCCGACTTGACGCCATGTAACAACTATCTGATATGAAGAGTCAGTTTCAGTTTTATGAAATAACAATGCACTTCCATTTCAAGCCCCAGCCTTTCTTTCTGTTTCTCTATCTTCTGTTTACTTTAGCAAGATGCCTTGCTCCTCAAGTCTGCCACAATGGCAACAGTCAAAGAAAAACAGGACTGCAACAATCACAATAATAAAAACCAGGAGCAAGGATTAAACCACACACCTTGTGCTTTTTTGTGTTTGCCCCCTGTCATCTCCTGGCACAGCTTCCCCCTGCTTTACCCCAGAATTGCTTGTGCACACAGTAACATTCTATGAGATGTTTCCCTCTAGGAACAGACCTACCTGTGTGAAGGAAACCGAGTTCGAAGCTCAGAAATAATTAAATCTTCCACAAGGTGATCTGTTTCTGTCACAAGGTCTGCATCTGATGTTTTTGTTGAGACATGCTTTTCCTCAGTAAGGGCTTTTCTGATGATCTAAAAAAGGTAAGGAGGTAGGTCAAAGGTTTAAGTGAGTATGACCCACCAGCCCATGGAAGGCGCAATGTGGAGTTGGTGTGGAAAGGACAGTGGGACAAGGGAAATGGCCTGTGCCCACTGACTCTTGCCACTCTAGACAGGGCTTATGTCTATGGCTCCCTGTTCAGTTCCTAGTGAGCTTTTTACCAAACCATTCACTATATGAAGTTAATATTCCCTACCAAAGAGCATGAAGAGTCATCTATTGAGACTGCCTAGAAAGAGTAAGAAGACATAACATACCTCTGTCCCATATAATTCTATGAATGTGAACTGATTCTTTTTCAGTGTAAAGCCAAAAATGCTTTGCCCTAATTCACTTTAAGAATCAAATGGGATGGATATGCTTTTTAACCTAGATTAAATATACTCAAACTGAGAAACTTGGGGGAGGTTGGATGTATTCCAATAGCTGGAGGCTAGCTCACATCCCTGCTCTGTCAGAACTCCTCTAACCAATGAAAAAGTTGGCTATGACACCAAATGGTACTAGGCCATGCCTGGGCTGAGCCTAGGTAGAGTTTTTTGCAGATGTGCCAGCCGGCCATGCAAACAGATCCAGTGTGACCCTACCACAGCTAAGAACGAGCATTAGCAAGACAGAGCCAGACAACAAGTTCATCTCCTCAATCTAACCTGATTCGGAAACCCTCAAGCCTTGAGCAGTCTCCTCACATTGATGACAAACCCGTGGTCATCTTCAGAGCTTTGCTCTCAAATTAGATATCAGTGACTAAAGATTGCTGAAGAAGAATCAATGCTTTTGAGTTCTGGTGCTGGAGAAGAGAATTGAACAGTCCATGAATGCCAAGCCAACAAACAGGTCTAACCTGGAGAAAGTGAAACCAGGTTGCTCCATGGAGACAACGATGATGAAACTCCATCTCATATACTTTGGGCATGTTGTCAGCAGGGTCTAGTGCTTGGAGAAGGACATCATGCTTGGAAGGACAGAAATCAGTGCTTGAGATGAAGACCCTGGATGAAATGGATTGACAGTAACCGTGGTAATGGGGTCAGGTGTATTGGAGATGGTGAAGTTGGCTCAGGACAAGGCAACATTCAGAGCCATTGTTCATAAGGTCACTATGAATCGTAGTCAATGCACAAAACATAACAATAACCCTGTACTCTCTCCAAACAGCAGCAGTCATTTAGCTAATTTTCTAGATCTTTCAGCCTTCGACTGGGATCTGCTCAGTGTCTCCTGATCTCAGGTTCAAGGATATGTGCTAGTAAGGACCAAGAGGAGGAGATCCAGGAACACCCTTCCAGAAATCTCCTGGGATCAGGTGATACTCACATGGAGTTTTAAGGACTAAGCATGAGCTGTCCCTAGACTCTGGTGGCATATCCACAGTGAGTACACTTCTTACCTAATGGCTACACTTCAGTGGTTCAAATCCACTAGCAGCTCCTCAAGAGAAAGAGGGACGGTATCCTCCTGCTATGATTTTCAGCTTTGGAGACTCAAAGGAGGGTCATCATGTATTGGAACCCACTTGATGGCAGTTCATTCTTGTCTGTTTTTGTCCCTAGACACCTGGTAGCCTCCTCCTCATGCTTCTCATCTCACTACCCTCATGACCTGTCCAGCACTGGACATTGAGCCTAAACAGGATTTTTGCTTTTTTCATCTTGGTTACAAAAATTAGTAGATACTTATAGAAAGAATGAAATATAATGAACAAATCCCATGGACTGGTGGTAACCACTAGATTCTGTTGACTCCCTGTTAATAACGGTCTTCCTACTTCTTCTAGTTGCAATATTCTTCCTATTACCACAAGATTAACTTCAATTTGAACATAAAAAGTCTCCCACTAAATGCATCTTCACAGGTTCTGTGTTTAAAGATTTCCATTTTCTCAACACTTTCCCTCATGCTGGGCATGCTCTCTTCTCCAGGAATCTCTAGCTCAAATTTCTCATCCATGAACCACTGGTACTGGCACTGAACAGCATACGGTGCAAGTGCTCAGCGGAGAGTGCATGCATACACACGTGTCTGTGTGAATGCACATGTACATGGTTAGAGAAAGGCAGGGCTGCACCCCATCTGTGTGTGTGTGTGTGTTGTCACACTCTCAAATTCTAATATGCACACAAGCCTCCTGGGATCATGACAGAAAGCATACTGTAATAGTGTTTGTGCATTTCTGACTCACTCAGTGGGGAGTCACAAGGAGCAAGGTAGCTTCTCAGTATCAGGGGAGAAAGAACATCAGGAGACAGGGCTGGCTGTCTGACTTGTTGACCTCAGATGGGTCGAAGATCTCAACCTGTGGCAGGGCTCAGATCCAAAACTGAGAAACACTGCCAAGAAGACAAGCCTTAGTTTGCACTATTCTGCCCCATCTGAGAAGAACTCATGCACTAGCATCCATTCACTTGTGTGGTTTCTGAGACCCATTCTGTATCTAGAACCAGATGAGTGTTTTGTAAACACCAATCATATCTAATACTTCTATGGCTTCAATGCATCCACCAGCTCCCCATAGCTCTTAGAACAAAATCCAAATCCTACAAAATCAGTTTGCCAGCCCCTCATCTTCCACAACTCAATCCAAGCTTGCCCTCCTTCAGTTATGCTGGACCCCAACCTTCCTTCAGTAGAATTCATCACCATATGCAGCTATTTTGTGATCTGGTTGCTGGTTATCAGTATGCTCAAGCATCTAGAACCACACTTGGAAAAAGCAAGCACACACAGTTCTTTGAAAACGCACTGAAGGGTCAGCTCTGGGTTGGTTCTGACTTGACAGCACACACCAACAGCAATACCGTAGTTCAAATGTCTCAATTCTTCTTTCCTATCCAGCTGCCATTTGTAAATGAAGTGAAAATATCATGACTTGTCAGGATCACCTTAGTCATCAAAGTGACATCTGTTTTTTAATCCTTTTATAAAGGAGGTATTTTGCAGCAGATTTGCCCAATATAGAATTTCATTTCTTGATGACTGCATCCATGAGCACTGATTGTGGATTTACGTAAAGTGAAATGCTTGAAAATGTCAGTATTTTCTCCACGATCATGATGTGTTTATTGACAGAGCTATGATAATTTTGGGGGTTTGTTTGTTTTTAAACAAAGAAGAGCAGTCCTTTTTGAAGGTAGAGGAGGACTTGAAGTACTTGTTGCAGATCAAGGAATGTAGCTTCCAATATGGATTGCATCTGAATGTCAAGAAAACAAAGACTCTTACTACTAGACCAATAGGCAATATCATGATGAATGGAAAAGAGATAGAAACTTTCAATGACTTCATCTTCAATTCACAATTAACACCCATGGTACCAGCAGTCAGGAAGTTAAGGAGAGGCACTGCACTGCAAAAATCTGCAATTAGGGACTTCTCCAAAGTATTGAGGAGTGATGATGTCAGTTTGAGGACTAAGGTGGATCTGATTCAGGGCATGGTCTTTCTGATCACTAGCTATGCATCTGAGAGCTGGACAATGAAAAATGACGCCAAAAGAAGAATTGACACCTTTGAGCTGTGGTGTTGGAGAAGAACACTGAACATCCCATGGACTGACAAAAGAACAAATGTTCTTTTGTCTTTTTTTATGCCTTAGAGAGGGAGCATCCCGCGTGCTCTTTGGAGACAATGATGATGAGGCTTCACCTCACATACTTTGGGCATGTTGCTAGGAAGTGCTATTCCTTGGAAAGGGACACAATGCTCAGAAAGGTAGAGGGTTGACAAAGGAGAAAGAACCCTGTAACCAGTTTGACTGACATGGTGACTGCCGTAAAGGGCTCTAATGTGTCAGAAAGTGTGAAGATGGCACAGGATAAGACAGGGTTCAGATCTGTTGTTCATAGGATCATTATGGGTTGTACTCGACTCTATGACACCTAACAACAACAGCAACAAAAACATAGTCTTTTTATCTTCCCAAGTGCTGTGATCTACATAGCTCAGGTTTTCCTCCATATTTCAGGAAGAGTTTTTAATATAATTCAGGTTTTTCATTTATTTGCTCAGCATGCAAAGTGAATAAGTATGGTAAATTGATACAGCACCAAAACACACCTTTCCTCACTCAAACCATACTGTATCAGTTTCCCCTTGTTGTTATGTGCCATCGAGTTGCCTGCAACTCATAGTGACCCTGTGTACAACAGCCCTAAACCCTGCTCTATCCTGTGCCAATCTCATTGTCTCCGACACACCTAGCCCCATTATCCCAGTCATTGAATCAATCCATCTCATTGAGGGTCTTCCTCTCCTGTGCTGTCTCTCCTCCCTTCCAAGCATGACGTTCCTCTCCAAAGACTGATCCCATCGTGCAACATGCCCAAAGTATGTCAGGTGAAGCTTCAGAATCCTTGCTTCCTGGTTTAACCCTCTCCAGGATGAACTTCTCGTAGCAGTCCATGGTATATTTAATACTCTTTTCCAACACCACAGCTCAAAGGCATCAATTCTTCTTCTATCATCCCTAGTAATTGTCCAACTCTCTGATGCATCTTTCTGGCATTATCTGTTTTCAGTCAAGATCTGGCATCAGCAATGATATCCCTTGTTGCACATTCTCTTCTGAATGGAGCCTGAATTTCTGGCAAGTTCCTTCGAAGTACTATTCCAATATTTTTCTTTCATATGATCTTAATGATAGTTTCATAATTTCTATATTCTGTTGGATCACATTTCTTTGGGATGAGCATAAAAAAGGATCTTTTTTACTAGTTGGCCAGAGATGTTTTTCACATTTCTGGTATGGATGAGTGAGAACTTGCAGTATTGCACTGCTTTTTAAAATCTCTCAATTGGTATTCTGTCAATTATCAGAAATCTGTTTTTCACCAGTGCTGTTAACTTTGGAGTCTTCCTTCAATACCATCAATTCCTGATATGGTTGAACATTGGCCATTTCTGTCTGGTACAGTGACTGTGTATTTCTTTCACCTTCTTTTGATACTTCCTAAATGATTCAGTATTTTGTCCA